GTGGTTGCTTTGTTTCCCCGATGTATAACTGGTCGCAGTCCTCCTGGCACTTAACAGCATATACAACATTGCTCTGTTTGTGCCGGGGCACCGGATCTAAACCCGTCCAGAGGACCTATACAATATTTTTCCTTTTGATTTTTTGCCTGGATTAGTGAGATGCAGATCAGTTCCAGTGCGCCTGCAGCGAATCGTTATCTGAGGACACCATGTGATGGCTCAGCTCAGCAACTCCTCACCTACCTCCACACACCACTGACGATTCGGAAGCAACACCGGAAATCTCGCTGGTGGATGCCGAGCCTCCAACGGAGCCCGGAGCGGAGGCCATAGCGGAGCCTGGAGCGGAGACCGCAGCGGCCTCCGAGCCTCAAAAGGCCTCACTTCCTCCAGCTTCGCCAGCGTGGGAACTGTCAAGCAGCACCGCTTCCTGTGGCGATTGGCTGGATTCGGAGGTGATTCCAACAGCTAAAATGGCCGTCCTTCATCTGCTCAACATGACTCTGGACTCTTATGTTCAGGAAATATGTAACGGGTGCATTATTAATCAACCCATCCAGTTACAGCACCTTTGTATGACGGTACGAGATGAGAACGCATTTTCAGAGCTCATTATGCTGAAATCTCGAACCGGATCATGAAGGAGCGGTTTGCGTCCACCGTCCAGCTGATTCTCAGAACTCGTGGCATGTTTGTGGATGATTACGCAATAAAAGTCATCACACAGACTTTGTTATTTCAACTCAGATTTGAGCAGATTGTTTTTGAAACTATTTACGCAATGTATGAATCGATGCCAGTTTGAGGTGAAAAGTCTAGAACCGTTCGCAAACTTTTACAAAACTGTATAGAATGATCTTGATGTTTTCAGTATTTTTTAAAAAAAATTCTGTGTGATTTGAAATAGTAGTTTTTATGTAGCGTGATTAGAAACTGTAGTTTTTCATTTTACACTACAAAAAAGTTTGTTTTTCATGACCAGTTGAATGTAATGTTTCATTTTTCTAATGTTTTTTTCTCTAAATCAAAACTGATTATTGTTTTTTAAAAATTTGTAACAGAAAAGTTATAACAAAATTTGTATAGAATGATCTTGATGTTTTCAGTATTTTTNTCTGCAAAGTAGCCTGGGCTCAAACCTGCAGCCTCAGCATTACGAGACCGGACCAAAAAGCTACTGATGCACTTATTTTTTAACACTTAGCCCTAAAATTGAATAAATGTGTGCATGTTTTTATTATAACGTATTGTCATCAATGAATGTTCCCATACAAAGATAAAATTTGACCCATCACATGTGGGATGTGTGGAGGAGAGGTGGAGCAGAGAGCAATCATGGAAGCGTTGTTATGAGCTTTTTTTTAATTAATTTATTTTTTTGCAGAGCTCGTCGTGAATACTGGGAGAAGCTGAGGCCTGCTTCTGGACGTCCACTCTGTCCTTCTATGTCCACACCTGATAGCTGGGGTGTCACCAAAGGCCACGCTGACCTGATGCAGCAAAAGGAGGCCACCTCCAAGGAGCAGCTGGAGGCTCTTTTTGAAAAGACCAGACAAGGTTGCTGACCCTCCCACCCCCAATCAGAGCGCTGAATAACAGGAGAAACAAAGGGGTGCCATTGCCTGAGGTTTAAAAACAAAAACAAACAAAAAAATAAAAGGTCATTTTGTCTTTCCAGGACTATTTTTACTCAAAGCTGTGTTTCCAGATTCATATTCCTGTCAAACCTGTGCCCTGACACTTACCAAGTGCCTGATGTGCTGTGAAACAGTGCATGACACAATAAAACAAACAAAACATTCAATCTGTATGTTGTGGTGTTTTATAACAACAGATCAAAAGAATATGTCAATTTTCAAAAAACATAGAGCATATGGACCACTTTTTTTATTTATGTGACGAAAAACACATGATTTAACGTAATTCAGGAACAATTTAATAATGATAAAACGTTAGTTGGAGGTCTGTCAATAACTCATTTTAATAGTAGAAGTTTGAATGCAAATTTATTCTAAATAACAGACTAGTTAAAACAGACAAAGTTCAGTGTCATAGCCATTTCAGAAACATGGCTCAATGATGAAAATATACAAAGTGTTGAAACAGATGGCTATGGATTACACTACATGAATAAGAGGTAATAAAAGAGGTGGAGGAGTTGCATTGTTTGTAAACACTGAAATAAAATGTAAAATTAAAGATAAATTATCAACAGCTGTTGACGATCAAATGGAAATAATCACCATTGAAATAATAAATGAAATCTCAAAAAATATAATAATTGGTTGTGTTTATCAGTCACCAGCCTCCAATATTGAAATATTTTCTAATAAAATCATGGAGCTCTTTGAAATGAGTTATAATAAAACATCTTGATGCATCTCAGTAATCCAGGTAAAAAAATCAAAAGGAAAAAAATAGTATAGGTCCTCTGGACGGGTTCTTCTTTAATGAAACGTTTCATCTCTCCTCCAAGAGACTTCTTCAGTCTGAGAGTTTCAGGTATAATATTTTGCCTGGACGTCTCAGAATCACTTGGAAGTTTTAGTTTGAAAAACATCTAATCTGATCTAACCTGATCACAAATAGCTTCTCCAAGATTTTTGAGAACTGTGGTAATAAGAATATCGGTCTATAGTTACTAAATAAACATTTCTCACCATTTTTATAATTACCTTGGCTATTTTCATATTGTTAGGAAATGTTCCGTTGAAAATGTTAAATTACATATATATGTAAAGGGCTTTAGCAACACAAACATCATATCTATGTTCACCCAATCTTTTGACCTCTTATCCGACATTTTTTACAGTACTCATTATCTCTTCTTCACAAATTTCACCAAGAAAGAGGCTGTTTGCACAACCATTGATTGTTTCAGTTACGTCATCATCAGCTTATGGTATCTGAGCAGCAAGACTTGAACCAACATTCACATAATAATGATTGCATTCTTTTGCTATTTCACTTTGATCATAAAGTTCCTTATTTTCTTTTACAAAGTATTGTGAAATCCCCAATCGTACATTGAGACACTGTTCATGACGTCCATGTTGCTTTTGTTTCACCATTTCTTTTTACTAATAAATCACTAATATTCCTTCTTTACGTTTTCTTATAATCCAATTATTTTATATTTATTACAATTTATATTATATTATAATATTTCTTATTTCATCCTCTGCTTCTTCTGTTTTTAATTTCCGGAAGGATAAATACAAATATCATTCTTCATTTTACATGCATTTCTCTACCCTTTAGTCATCCATGGCTTGTCCACAACATCTTTCTTGGCAACATTTTCCATATAATGTTTTTCATACAAAACTTTGGGGGTGAGAAGCTCGGTCACAGCTCCTCCACGTCGAGAGGAGCCAGTTGAGGTGGCTCGGGCATCTGATTAGGATGCCTCCTGGACGCCTCCCCAGTGAGGTGTTCTGGGCATGTCCCACTGGGAGGAGGCCCAGAGGAAGACCCAGGACACACTGGAGGGACTATGTTTCTCAGCTGGCCTGGGAACGCCTAGGGATTCCCCCAGAGGAGCTGGTCCAAGTGGCTGGAGAGAGGGAAGTCTGGGTCTCTGCTTCTTATGGTGCGTTCACACCAAACGCGATTTCAGCATCAGGAGCAGCAGGTTTACATACAAAGTCTATGGTGGAC